TTCTGTCTACAACACTCTACTACTCTTCTCTCGACTAAGGGAGTAAACCTTAACAGAAAAGCCTGGTCCTCCTGGTAGGGGGTTGGGACGTAGGGCCTGCTCCTCTACACCCATGAAAAAATTACTGCAAAAAATTCTAAAATCTAGCCTCAGAATACGGACGGGAAAAACGAAGACGACGTAGCAAACGGAACAAGGACTTTGAATATACATACATGGAATATTCAAGGGTGGAGAACCAAGTCAGACGAAGTCATGGCAGAAGTAAAGAAAATAAAATCAGATAGCACGGTTCTTACCGAAACAAAGAAAAAAGGCCAAGGTAGTGAAGACATAGGAGGTTTCATACATATTTATAGTGGAGTAGAGAAAGGCAAAAGAGCACAAGCAGGAGTATAAATATTGATAAAAAAAGACTTAAAAGGAAACCTGAAAAGCTGAGAGCAGATCAATGAGAGAATTATTAGAGTATCTATTACGTGGAAAGGGCACGACCTCGAGATCATTGGAATATATGCTCCGTCAGAAAATGCATCAAAAGCAGCTAAACAAATATTCTATGAAACTTTATCGGAACTCATTGAAAATATAAACAGCCGTAAAGAAATTGTGTTGTTGGGAGATTTTAACGCTTGGACAGGAACAAAAACAAATGATAAAGCCGTAGGAAAACATGGTGACGCTAAAACAAATGAAAATGGGGAACACTTAATCGAATTCTGTGAACAGCACTTTTTTAAAATCCCAAACGGATTTTACCAACATAAAAACATACATAAGTACACATGGGTTAAATCAACAAAAAAACGCAAAGTCAGTTATAGATTATGTCATCACAAAACAAGAAACACACATACAAGTTGAAGATATAAGAGTATTAAGAGGACCGGAGTGCGGAACTGACCACTATATGGTAATATCAAAATGTTACCTACGGTATCGACCTCGGTTACTACATTAAAATGACAACCAACCAGCTCAATCAAAACCCCTGGAATTGAATCTACCTAAATACAATCTTGATGCACTGCAAAACGACTCGACATCATTCTTATATAAGCTGCGACTCAGCCAAAAATTGGCAAACCTGATCTACTCCACAGCCCAGAATACCTATAAAGAGATAATCAATAAAATCAATGAAGCTGCTTACGAAGCGCTCAGCAAAATCATCAGAAATCAGAAAAACAAGGAATAAGCAAAAAATATACAAGCAGTACAACAGCTCTACAAAAATATGACGGCAAATATTAAAACTGGAAAAAGATTAATTAGAGAAATTTCTATTAGTAAGGGCCTAAAGCAAGGCTGCTGCATAGCACCTACATTCTTCAGAATATATCTAAATGCTGCAATATGGGCATCCCAATCGGAGAAGATAGATTGTACACGATACACTTCGCTGAAGACCAAGCCATTTTAGCTGAAGACGAAAGTGATGTAGGCTACATGCTTAGAAAACTGGAAGATGAGTACACCAAATGGGGCCTCACAATTAATATACAAAAAACAGAGTACATAGTTGTAGGAGAAAAACCAGAAAGCCTACAAATCGAAATGGGAACTATAAAAAACAGACAATTTTAAATACTTGGGACTCCAAATAACATCAAAAGCAGAAAGTAGCGAAGAAATACATTCCAGGATTGGCCAAGCAAGATCAGCCACCAGACAGCTACACGGACTATTATGGAACAAAAAATAACAAACGAAAATAAAAGAAGAATTCATAAAACAATAATAGAAAGTATTGATAGAAAGAAACTAATCAAAAATTAACGCCATAGAAATGAACTACTGGAGACGATGTTGCCAGCTCACTAGACTTGATAGGGTAAGAAACGAAGATATTCGGAGGGAAATGGAAATCGATCTAGACATAATAGACACAATCGAAGCCAAAAGACTTAACTGGTACGGACACCTTTAGAGAATGCCTGAAAACAGATGGCCAAAAAAAAATAGAAGAATAGACTCCGCCAACTAGAAGAAAACGAGGTAGACCAAGAAGATTCTGGAGAGACGATGTCGACGATGCAATGATCGCTAGAGATCTAATAACTGAAGATTGCTTCGACAGAAAAAGCTGGAAATTAGGATGCGAGAAGTATCTGAATAAATAGGCGCTGGAGCGGCGATATTAAAAAAACTGCATGGCCAAAGTGGAAACCTCTTACAAACAACAGAGATAAATGGCGAGAAAAAGGAGAGGCCTATATTCGGCAATCCGAATATAGGCCTCTATAAAGAATAGGCCGAATAAAGAAAATGGCTCTAGACATTTTTATCTTTGTTCTTATTTCTCGACTGGGTCTATAATTTCTGATATCCAGCAGCCAAGTACTTATTTCAATTTTGTCATTTATTAGCCTGCCGTAGAGAGTTTTGTGTTTGTCTGCAAAATAGATTTTTGGCCTAGAACCATTATCTTGGATTTCTCTATCTATCTAATTAGCCCCCATCTTTGGATATAGGCATCCCCAATCTTTTTCCATTCTTCTCTGTCTGTCCTACAGTCATCCACCTAAAACCCACGTACTTCTTGATATCATCTGCTGGGACAGATTTTGGGTCCTTTCTCTGCTTGGTTTATATTCCCACGGTCTCCAACTTACAAGAATTTTGTTCCATCGGACTTCTTTTTGTCTTATATTGTGTCCGGCGAATCTCCATTTCAATTTTGCAACTTCTTGTCTAACATCCCTTACTTTTGTTTTCTCTCTTATCCACTCGTTTCTCTTTTTATCCATTATTCTTATGTGCAACATTTGTCTTTCAATTGCTCTTTGGGTTTTTATGAATCTGTCAATATTTGCTTTTGTAAATGTCCACGTTTGGGAACCATAAGTAAGAACAGGGAGTACGCATTGATTGTATACTTTGGTCTTAAGATTCTGTGGATATCTTTTGTTTTTAAGAATGTAGCTTAATTTGCCAAATGCCGCCCATGCCAGTCTAACTTGTCCTTTTATCTCTGCTTTGTTAAGTTTTATAGTTTGACCCAGATATATATATATATATATATATATATATATATATATATATATATATATATATATATATATATATATATATATATATATATAATCCTGATATAATCCTGAACTTGTTCTAGTTCATCTTGTCCAATTCTCATTGTGATGTCTTCATCTGTATTTGTTATGGTTTTGGTCTTGCTGTAATTCATATTAAGGCCTATCTTTTCAGCTTCTACGTCCAGTTCTTTCATCATTGCAAATAATTCTTCTTTTTTATCGGTTATCAATACGATGTCATCAGCGTACCTTAGATGGTTCAAGCGTTGTCCACAAATTTTTATACCTTTTTCTTCCCATTCTAATCTTTTAAAAGTATCTTCCAGAACCTGATTGAAAAGTGGTATTGTGTCACCCTATCTCACGCCTCTATTTATTTGTATTGATTTGGTTCCTTCATATACTTTAATTGTTATTTTGGCTTCCTTATATATATTGGCTATTAGTTCGGTATATCTGTGGTCAATTCTGCTGTTAATCAAAGAACATTTCACTGCCCCATGCTCGACAACTGTCAAAAGCCTTTTCGAAATCTACCATATATAGAGGAACGCGGTATTCATTTGCTCGTTCTATAAGTATTTTCATACTTAGTAAATGTTCACTTGTGCTGAATCCCTTTCTAAAACCAGCTTGTTCTTTCGACTGGTATCCGTCGAATTTTGTCGTCAATCTGTTGGTTAAAATTTTTGTTAGAAGTTTATACATTACATTGAGGAGTGTTATAGGACGGTAGTTTGTTATATCTGCTTTATACCCTTTCTTGTGTAGGATAATAGTAACTGATTCCTTCCAGTTGTTTGGGATTCTTTTTTCTTTTAATATCTTGTTAAAAAGGGAATGTAGAGTATTAATTACCACTTTTCCACCATATTTCAGCATTTCTGCAGTTATTCCATTTTTTCCAGGCGATTTATTGTTTTTTCATTTCTTTCAATGCCTTCTCTATTTCTGATTTGCTTATTTCTGGCTGTAGCTCTGAGTTCACATTTTTTATTTTAGGCTTAAGTTGGTTTTTAATTTCTTCTGGTGGTTCCTTTTTTGTTTTATATAATTCTGAGTAGAAATGGTAGATTATATTTATTATGTCATCTTTAACGTTTGTTTCTACTCCATTTACATCTTTTATTTTGTTTATTTCAAACTTACCTAATTTCGGCCTTAAGCATTTCATATTTTTGTTGCTTTGTATTACTTCTTCTATTTTTATTTCTTGTTCTTTTCTGTTATTTTCTTTTATCATTCTGCTTATTGGTTTATTGATTTCTACATATTCTATTGATTTCCTTTTGCCTTCTTTGTTCAGCTTCCTTCTTTTATCCATAAGCTTTGTTGTTTCTGTTGATATATAGTTGTTATTTTTTAGTTCCTTTTTTGCTATTTCTTTTTCTGATGTAATCATCGTTGCTGTAAGTATGTTGTCTATTTCGTCTATATCGTTACCATCACTGTCTAATTTTTGGGTAAATTGTTCTTTTAATAGGTCTTTGTATATCTCTTTATATTGCCCTAGTTTGTTTCTATCTACTAGATCCCAGTTTTTAATTTTTTTTTCATTTCAATGTTACCGTCAATACTAATTTTTGCTCTGACCATCCTGTGATCAGTATGTAGTCGATCTCATTTTTTGTGGATCCATTAGGGCTGATCCATGTCTCTTTTCGGTGAGGAATTTTGGATTTAGTAGTGTTAATTTTTAGACCAATACCGTAGCATTCTCTGGTTACCTTGTTAATTAGCAATTGTAGGTCTTCTGCGACATCTACTAACAATGCTATGTGGTCAGCATATCTTACATTGGATATCGGTTTACGATATATTTTTATTCTTTCTTTTTCATGATCTAGAGCTTATTAGAAGCTATATTCTTTGTAGGCACTTAACAGAATTGATCTTTTTTTTATCTTGCTCCACAATTAATAGGTACTTAATATTTAGAAGTAAAATAAAACAAAATATTTTTTTCCGAAATGTACAAAGTACCCTCCTTTTTATTAGTTTGCATCATAAGAGATCGGTAATAATTTATAAATATAAATACAGAAGTATTTTAGTCATCATATAAAACTATAATAATATTCAAGGTTGCATTGTCATTGTCAGTTAACTGGAAACGACAAGTAATACTGATAATGGAGTTTTCGAGATCACAATAATTGTTCCTAACTACTACCAGCACTGTTATAGCACTGCATTGTCTGAAGAGAGCAGCCGTGGCACCTTTCGTCCTTCTTGCTACACATCATACCCTCACCACACTGGCCGAGGATGTCGAGAGGTCCACCACATCTGTCTCCAGGTCCCTGTAACAATTATAAAATTTATAAGAAAAGTTCACAAACAAATAACTTTTGTATTGTTACAATAAAGAAGAATTAAAGCTAATTGGAGAATTATATTAAAATCAAATTAATTTACAAAGAGTAGGGTGCCTAAAAACTCAAATAAGGCGTAGGTAGCTTCCATGACTGTTTGCTGATATTGCATTTAATCTTGTGCAGCATGTACCAATTTATCTGCTGATAAGTCAGTCCATTGACGAGGGTCTCAAAGTCATGAATATTTCTTCCTACCATTCATCTTTTTCCCTTGATATGTCCGTTGAGTCTACTACCTTTTATTATATGCCACAGATATTCAAGTTTTTTCTTTTTATCATCTTTATTAAGTCACTTTCGTCTTGACCTATTCTGTTTATGTTTGGGATATGTTAAACTCATGACAATGTGAGCATTCTGCGATATGACCACATCTCGAAAGCTTCTAATTTATTTATCATCTTACCCTTCATAATCCCAGTTTCCATGTAGTAATATAGGATACACACAACATTTTAGGAACTTAATTCTTAGTTGTAAGTTCAGCTGAGAATTGCACAGTACAGATCCAAGTTTCATACATGCTCCTTTTCCAATGTCTATACGAGTTCTAATTTCTTCATTAGGATTTAGTGTCTCGTTAATTCAACATCCTAGATATTTATTAACTTGTATAATTAGCTTATTGTTGACAATTGGTTGCATAGTGCCAACGTCGTGTGTACCTACCGCGAGTAACTTTATTTTTGATGTATTTATGCTCAATCCATTATTGGAGCATTCTCTAGTGATCTATAAGGAATTAGAGATCTTAATACTTTCAGCCATGATCGCTGTGTAATCTGAATAGCTGATGTTGTTGATAGTTTCTCCCAAAATTCGAACTCCACGTTGCCTTTCAAGGTTTCGTTCGTTAAACAAAGTTGGAGAAAACACAAGACCTTGTCTGACACCTCTTTGAATAAAAATTTTGTGTTTCTATGCAGTCTACCAGAATAGAAGCTTATTGATTGCAATATAGATGTTATAAAAGTCTCAGATTTCTATCATATATTCCAATCATTTCTAGATACTCAAACGGCCTATCAAACGCCTCTTCAAAATCTATAAAGCAAATGTAAGTTGGTTTCTGTACTTCCCATGACCTTTGAAATAATGTTAACATTGAGAACAATGTTTTTTCTTTCCTTGTTCCCAATCCTTCTCTGATCCTTCTTAAAAACTATATTTAAATAAAGAAATCTAAGCAAATATATCTTACCCTTGCACATATTCTTCTAAAGCATGCGTCTCTTGCTTCTCCCCACACACAGACTTCTTTAGGTTCCGCGTTGCATTCTGCTTCGTCTTTGCAAGGTTGGCAGACCCATAAACCGGCCGCAGTACTGTAACAAAAAGAAACTGGCCATTAATAAACTATATAGGAATAGCACTCGTGATTTAACATTTTTGATACTCTTTATAACATATTGTTAATACAAGAACTAGTCTCAGTTTATAATATATAAGAAAATAATTTTATCGGTTTCAGTAAAATGCAGTTTATTGTTTTTAAGTACTTTAAAGTATGTAAAATGGACTGACTTTTATACAGAACCCTAGACAATATTTACTATCATGAGAAAACAAATTGAATCAAGTAGATAATTTATTTCTAGCCACCATTTGCTGTAACTTTCCGATAATCAGAAGTCTAGCCTAATTGATGCCATGTGCAATTCTTAAGACTTTCAAAAGGGGGCTTTAAAAGGTGTTTGACTTGAGTCAGCCTTGAGACGGTCATTCTAAGAACTGTTCCAAACACTACAATGCCCCTTTTCTAAAGACCAATTAAATTAAACGGTTTATGTTTCCAAGAGGTCCTTTACCACTGCAGCAAAACAAAGTATTTGTTCGTTTTTACTAGATAAAAATAAGTAGTAATTCTTTAGACGTGACCGCAATTGGTGTAGGTCAGTGCTCAATTTTCGATAGGGGGACAAAGCTGGTTTTTGCAATAGAGATTTGCAGATGTTGTTGACCCCTGTGGCAAGAAAGGTCACTTCCCGAACATTAGGAAGTTCAAATTAATTTACGTTTGCAAACTTGATCTCTTCTTAAACTGTAACTGAAAAAATTGCGGGTCCATTTGCCAGAATGAAGACAAGAGTGTTGTAAAATAAATTACTTATGATGAATAAAAAAAACAAAAATAATGATAATATATTCACAATTATACCATTGAAATTACATAAGAATGGTCTATAAAATAATTACATGATCTTATGTAATGTACACAAAATATAACACGCGTGTGTAGACCTAATACAAACAATATATATGATCTATTCCTTAGAACTCTACGATTATGTCTACATTACGTCATCAATTAATTAAACATCAATGGCGAGTTTGCTATTGCCTTTTGTATTTGTCGGTCCTGTGCCACTATTTCCAATTGTCTCATTTCCATTTTCTTCAGATCCTCTCTGACCACTTTCCACCGTTTTCTAGGCCGTCCTATAGATTTTTTATCAACTGGTCTTTCCCAAAATACGTTGTTTACAAAGCTATTGTCACTACTGTGTATCACATGTTCTGTCATAGCCTATTGCCTTTATATTATTATGTCTATTATAACTTGTTGTTGTGTCTTGCGCCTCCTTCAGTTTGTCACGCTATCTCTGCAAGGGCCATATGTATTACTTGAAGGACTGAACGTTCTGATACCAAAAATTAATTTACTTATTTATTTATGATCTAGTCGGTCAGATAGCGAAGAGGGTCACGCAGTGTCATTTCGCTTCACTGCTGAAATGCTTTGGTGGATGTGCATTCGAACTCTGGCTCGGTGTAAAGAGAAATAAAAAGGTTAACGTAGCAGTTTAAAATTCTAAAATGAATCTGCAGCTTAAGGCGCGTACAGACCTACAAACGCATGCGGTGAGCAGCCACGAATACACATACGTGTGTAAATGTGGACGCCGCTTTCGTAACCTCTCGCCGCATGCGTTGCTTCTCGCGAATGACTTGAGCACACATGCTGCGAGCCAGAGTGGTGTCGGTTTTTTCGCACACATCAAAGAAACATACGTGTGCGTTCGCGCTCAGTTTAGACGGATAGCGTGGGGATTTGTTGCATTTGCAAGACAAGTTCGAATTTATTGAGTTTTATTCATTTTATTGATTTGTGTGTAATATGGAGTGGTCAAATGAACAATATTTGCAATTAATAGATTTGTATGAAGAAAACCCTATATTATGTTATCAGTAAACGTTCCTTAACAGGTATGGTTTTTCTTAATACGGTGTCGTTTTTCTTTGTTACAGGGCCTATATCATTTAAAAGGAGTTCAAAGTCTTCTACTGACATACGTGTAAAATTTTGAAATTGTCCAGTATTAGGTTCTAACGCCAAATCTACTAGTAAATCGGAGTTCGTTTGTAGGGTTCTTTTTTAAATAAATGCGTCATCCACCATCACCTATTTTTCCTTTGTTTTTTCTTATTTAATGAAATAATAACCACAAACTCGGCACTAACCATAAGCAGCTCCTCAGACATTTTTTCACGAATGGATGGAGCGCCTTGAGCACGCATACATATGCGGTGATTTCTAATTTCAACGAATGCTCTGAGCGCGATTAGTTTGAGTACGTGGAATATGCGTGGCTTCTCGCCGCATGCGTGTGCTAGTCTGTACGCGCCTTTAGACTAGAAAAGAGCTGTCCAAGTTCAAGTAGTTTGGGGGTCACCATATAAGAAAATAAGAATATGAGGGATACATCATATGCGACTTTGATGCGTAAATCATTTATAATAAATAAAACTGGTGTATATTTGATATCCAGTTTTATTCCTATTTTTGCACAATTGCTAAATTCCTAAATTTAGTGAAGAGTTTGTGGGTGCTGATTTCCACCAACACGAGTATCATTATTAATTTTAATATTAATTTGTTATTGACAAACGAAGTAACTGAGAAAGTAATTTATAAGAGGAAAGGATCCATATTCAACCCTCTATTTTATTTTCCTATACTAAATATTCATAGTAACTTTGTAGGTCTTTTTTAATACTGTTCTTATTGTTAATTTTTTGAAGATTCTGTTATATAAAAAATGGATCATGTGAAAGATTTGCAAGAGGCACCAAATTACCTAAACAAAATTAAATACTTAAATTAAATAGTAATTGTAATGACGTGTTTTAATTATAAAGACTTTAAAATGTATATAAAATAATATACTTACGTCTGTGGACACAAGAATAAGATAACGGAGACAGATAAAATTAGGAGGATGAAATTAGGAACCATAATCTGTTATCGTCACCGGGATTGAAAAAAGTACTTGTCCTGTAACAAAAATATTACATTTTAACAACCAGTTTAAACATTTTCCCTCTCCATAAATATAGATTCCCAATAAATAAAATTCATCTCTGTGGTATAATATAATGTCAAATATATTCTTACATTTTCTTTGGAATCGATATCATTGAGCTCTGAATTTTACTTAGCTTTAAACTCTTGACTTTAAATTTAGTTATAGTAATAAACTAAACATTAAGTAAACTGTCGCGTTAGCGTAATGATGACAGTTTTTTTAATTATCTGTGTGCTATTATTACAAATAAATAATGCAACATGTAGAGAGGGAATCAGAATTTAGACTCATTGAAATCGAAACTCACCGACTTGTTTTGGTTAACATCGTAGGCATCAATTTTCGTAGCAACCCACTAATACATCAGTTAAGTTTATAAATGTATTACAAATGGATACCACAACCATCAAAGCAGCTCAAACATTATTGAGAGCAAGCCTGAGCCAGCAGCCGTATCGACTAAATTTAAGCCAATCTGCTGTATCTCGAGTATATCGTCGGTACCAAGATACTGGTGATTATGACTGCCGATAAGGAGAAGGATGTAAACGAATAACAATGGAGGAGCTGATCGATTTCTTGGTGCGTCAAAAAAGAGCTTAAAGAGGTCCGAGGTGTGGTAACCAGCATTTGGACGGGCAGAAGAAGACTGAAGGCAACTAACCTAACACCAAAAAGGATATCTATGTGTCCCAAGCTAATTGCAGCTCAGAACCATAGGCGATCAGGATTGGCTCGCGAACATCTGAATTGGGACGACTATCAGTGGAGTCCGGTATTATTCTCCAACGAAAGTAGGATCTGCCTACATGGCAACGACAAAAGGCGTTGAATCTAAAGAAGGCCGGAAGAGCGATTTGCTCAATGTTGTATACGAGAAATTGTAACCTATCGAGGTGGTTCTGGTTTGTTTTGGGCAGGCACTTCCATAATAGGAAAACCGAGTTGGTTTTCGTGTCTGATGGAAAACGTGGAGGAGGTTTAACGACGGATCTTTACATCAGAGACATTTTGAAAATGTGGTTCTATACGCATGATTTATTGGTAATGCCTATATTTTAAAGCTCGATAATGCAGAAAGCCATACCGCAAGAGTCAACATTACCTCTCTGACGGAGATCGGTATACCTACAATAAATTGGCCTGAGCTGAGCTCGGACATAAATTTAATAGAGCATGTTTGGGATGAGCTTAAACGAAGAGTCTGGGACAGAAACCATGCACCAAGAAGAATAATGGAATTGAGAGCTGCGCTTAATGATGAATAGGGAGCAATGCCTTAAGAATGTATTAGAAAAGTTATTCGATCCATGCGAAATCTACTGGAAAGTGTAATTAGTAGTAGGGGTGGTAATATCAAATACTAAAAAATAAAGAAATTTCTATTCTATTTCTATTTCTCTGTGAATAACGTCTTTCTTGAGTTAGTTCCAATGATGAATATTTAAGAAAATCTATTGGTATTGCATATTCTTCCAAATAAAGCAATAGCAGCTTTTATAAGGTCAATAATAAGGTTATGGTTTGCACATTACATATTTTTATTTTCATAATTCTTATATTGAAACAAAAGGTGTAATGTCAAATATCGCTTTTAATAATAAATAACTAATAAATTATAGATTAGTAGCATCAGTTGTCTACTTGGGTGTTTTAATTTATTTTATTTTTCAAAAACATAAGATTATAACCTTGAGTTACAACTGAAAACGACTTGTTAACAAAATTTATTCAAAAATTCTAAGACTATCATTGCTAAGAATTGTATAAAAGTAGAAAAATAAGGTTTAATTAAAAAAAATCATTTACTATTGCCATTCGCTTCCGTATAAGCCAATTCTAGAGCATGTTAGAAATTTTAGTATTAATCACTCAAATAAAAACGATTTCTCTATTTCTATTAGTTGTGTAGTATTTGTTATCAAAGAAGGACTACTTAAAAGAACTTCGCAAAACATCGCACTAGGCTTCTTAGAACGGATAACCACAAACAAAACACTTAATGCCTCTTTAATTGCAATGTGTGAATAGTCCAATTACGGTTGAAGAATTCTTCAAATTGGGTCAATTAAGAAAGCATCGAGAGACAAACGCAACAAACTTAAACATCACATGTCGTTTAAGGTATATAGGTTTCAACGGTTTAAAGGGATAGTCTACTTGGGAAATAACAAGTAAACATTTTAGGAGTGGCTAAACGTGGCATCTTGTTACATATATTTATAAGACGATGATTGCAATTGGTTTTTTATCTCGGCGCTCAAAGGAGTACTTATTTGAACTTAAAGAAGACAAAACTATCATTGTGTTAATAAGTAAATAATTATTAATTATAAAGTTTTGAGTATGAGTAGTATGGTAGAATTTAAAATCCAAAGAAGCAAAGTAGCTGAAGTTTAGGAATATTGAAGTCAACTGGTTATCAGTTAGTATGAACAACCGCCATAAACATTTTATGAAAAAACTCTTCAAACAGAGCTTTCTTTGGAAAGTTAGTGGTCCTTTTTTATAAGTGAAAGTGATCTTTAACTTATTCCCGCGTTAAGTAAGAGTTAAAAGTATCGTCTAAAATAATAAAGAAATTAATAAATAACTGTTCTCTGATAAAACGTATCAATTTCTTTGGTTATATTTTTTTATTATTATCCCAAGACAATTAATTTGTTCCTAAAAATATCGTTAAAGCATCCAAACTGTTATTTTATAAATTAGTCTAAAAATAGAACGAAATATTTAGACTAAATCATTGACACCTACGAGTCACCAGCCACTCCCAATAGACACATTACTTACTCCCAATAGACTGTCGTAAGACCTTTCAGCCACGACATGACACTGTGGACATTGTAATTGCATCAATTACATCAACAGTACTTCTTATATAATTTTAAATTACGAGGTAAAATTTATGGTGGAACACGATATGACACTCTCAGCGTAGACACTTGGAAAACTAATTTGGCTTTAATTTGAAATATATTCAACAAAATTGTCATTGCAATTCGTAGTTGGCTTGAGTATATCAGTAAAGCTTCGATAGTATATTTTAATATGCAGTTTTTTGTTTACTTTTGAAGCCAAACGTCTAAAGAATCATTCATTAAATGGAATATGTAATAATGTTAGAAGAATGGGAATAAATATGTAGTCGCTGTGACCTGTAGAATTATTTCAGAATGGACATTTTCATTTGACGCCCTGTAACAAGAGTCAATTTCGCAACGATCATACATATTATGTACAGTATAATAAATGTAAAATGCAAGAAAACTGTTGACTTAAGATACGCTGCAACAACACTTTACTTTCTACTTTTTTCGATAAAAAAAGCTTAAATGCACACACATACATACATACAAATAAAATACGTAAAAGAAAGAAAACCTTTGATAAAATCTCTGAAGTTAAAGCTGCTGACAGTCATATCAAGCAATACCAAAGATTATATAGGTCTGATGAGTCTGCTGTCGCCAGGTATAGTAATTTTTTTGTATTATTTTTTAGTAGTTTATTAATTTTTATATTTTAATTTATAGAAAATATTTTACTGCATCTGCATTTTACAGTTTCTTACAATTACAAAATATTTTTCCAATTTTTCGGCTATCTTGGTCAAATCTAACTATAAAATTGTGAATTTTACTTAGAAATGATCTGTGGAGTATCAACAAAAAAAATAATAAAAAATGACATATCATAAAAACATGGATGAAGAAATGTTATGAGGTAAGGTTATGTTATAGTGTATTTTTATGTGTGAGAGAGTAATAAAACAATAAATTATGTATGCAAATCCCTAAACTGGGTGACTCAATGAAAAACAGATATTTGTCAGCAAGTTTACAGAAGTATATAGGAAAACAATTTTAAATTGAGTATGACCACCAGGTATGAAGGTTGGAGCAGAATAGAATACAATAGTTGTGAGGGTTACTAATCCCTAAATAAGGTTGCCAGTGTCGGACTGATGGAGGTTAACAGGTACTAATGAATTTGCAAGAAATGTAAGATGTTTATTTTATTGGTTATATATAACCAATAAAAGTTTAATAAGTACCTACCTATTTGCAAAATAAAGTTTAATTCTTTAGATAAAATAAAATGTTTTATTTTATCTGAAATGAGTGCATTCCACGAAGTAAGGGTTTCAACAATCAAACATTTAATTCTTTAATTCCAGGAATCTACGACAGTAATTGACTAGATAATTACCTTCTAAACTTATTCCACAGAAAATGTGATAGTGGGTTTTTCCATTTTGTAGGAAGGTCCAAGTGGCATATTCAAAATTCTTAACAGTTCACTAAAAGTAGGTACTTCAGTTGCAAGGTGCAGTTTATTGTGTATACTAGTGTCATGGAAAATTTGGAAGTGCCGTGTAAACGCCGAAAAATTGGTCCTTTAACAGTTAATGAAAAAACATTAATATTTAATTGTTTTAAATCATTTACAGACAAACGTTTATGTGAAAGTGTTGATGAGACCGTTGAGTTAGTTAGCAGTACATTTGGTGTTGGGAAATATACGATTTAAAGAGTTATTAAAGAAGAGAAATGTGGTAGTTTTCAAATGCCACGTAATGCTTCAGGGAAACCAAAATTTCAAATAGAATACCATTTTAAAGAAGGACTTCGACAGAAAGTGTATGAATTCTTCTTTAGACAAGAATTTCCTACATTGGATAAAGTTCTTGTCTCAGTTCGAGATGATAAGGATTACCCAGAAATGAGTCGAAGTACGTTATGGAAACTATTAAAAGAAATAGGCTTCCGCTGGAAAAAGAATCCCAGAAAGTCTATTTTATTAGAAAGAAGCGATATTGTCATATGGAGAAGACATTTTCTAAGAACCATAAAGGAAATGAGAAACCAAAAAAGAAAAATATTTTATCTTGATGAAACATGGATCAACGAGGGTCATACATTTTGTTGAAGGTGGTTTATTAACTTTTGAATCAACTCGTACCAGT